TTACTACAAATCAGGGTATGTCTATTGAATTCTAAGGGTAGCTTTCATTTCCATTTTCAAGCAGAAAGAGAATAAAAGTTCTGTGGAAATGGCCATGAGCCATAAACTAATAATTATATGTCTAGAGTTTCATGAATCTCTTACATAAGAGCTTTTCTAGCATAGTGCATCCCTCCTATTCCACTGTTCAACAGTAAGAAACCAGTTAGACTTACTATAATGACAGATTAAGCTCCTTCCCACCCGAAAATGTTACTGGAAACTCATGCAGCATGTAGAAAGTAATCAAAGGCACAAGATATTGTTGTTATTTAATAATAACTGCATGCCATCAAGTCAATTCTGACTTATGACAACCCTTTCCAGGGTTTTCTAGGTATAGACTACACAGAAGTGGTTTACCATCCCCTTTTTCTTGGGGCACTCTAGGACTGTGCAGCTTGCCTGAGGCCACATGGTCTGGCTTTTCTTCCAGGATAAGAACTGAACTCGCAAACTTTGGTTCCACAGCCAGATACCTAAACCACTGAGCTACCTGGCTAGTTATTCATTGACTGAATTTATATTCTAACCTTGAGACCATGTGTGATCTCAGAGCAGTTCTTAACAATCAAAGGGCAATACAGTGGGGTCTCTACTTAAGAACGTCCCTACTTAAGAACAATCCAACTTAAGAACAGCTCCATTTGCTAAATTTTGCTTCTACTTGAGAACAGAAATCCAAGATAAGAACAGGAAAAAAAACCTTTCCTGCTCTTTTTTTAACCTTAGGTCATCTTAGGTTAAAAAAAAATTCTCCCCCTAGTGGTAGAGTACGTATTAACCAGCTTTGCATTAGTTCCTATGGGAACTAATGCTTCAATGTACGAACGCACCTCTACATAACAAAAAAACAACCAGAACGGATTAATTGGTTTTCAGTCCATTCCTATGGGAAATTTTGCTTCAACTTAAGAACGTTTCAACTTAAGAATACCATTCCAAAACGGATTAAGTTCTTAAGTAGAGGTTCCACTGTAGTTTCTATGGACGGAAAAGAGCAGATACGGATTAAATGGTTTTCATTGCATTCCTATGGGAAATGCAGATTCAACATAAGAACTTTTCAACTTGAGAACCACCTTCCAATATGGATTAAGTTCTTAAGTAGAGACCCCACTGTAAATACAATTAACAAGAACAAAACAAAAATCCAGAAATGTCGGTGACAATGATCAAACAGCCAAGCCCCAAAGACATTTTTGAGAAAGAAAAGATTTCAATGAGCTCTGAAAACTGTATACTGTTTAGATCCAACTCAAGTTCAGAGTGGGTATCCTTCTACAACTCTTGCTGGGAAGTCTCTTTGAGAAGCACACTTTTGCCAATGACAGTGCCTTCAGGCAGGCCTGTATAGTTGAACTCAAACCCCAACAGGGTTTTTGGGGAAAGGAGGTTCTTTATTTGACGACCCAGAATCAAATAATTTAAAAAGGGAAATAAAGACGTGATAGAAAAACAAAAGCAAGCAAGGCTAACAGATGCATGAGAGCATTTTGAAAAATCAATACATGGCTCAACCAATTTCAGCCACTCTCACCTGTCACCCAAAGATAGCTTCTTGGCAAGGATCCCCTTAATTCCCCACAAAGCACTGATGCTGTACAGGAGCATAGGAATACTGCCTGCTCTAGGTTTGGAACTGGGTTTAGGAGGAGAAGGCATGTTTTGCCCCCTCCTGAAGTGGGTGCCCTGATCTCAGATAACCTATTTGGTGCAGAGGCATATCTTTGGGTCTTATCTTCTCCCTCCCAGCTTGGCACAAGAGACAAGAAGTGCCATCTTTTATGGCTGTGTACTTATTTCCAGCCACTGCACAGCAAAAACAAATCCCAGGTGCCAACCAAAGTTTGCAATTGGAAGTTTAGGTAACCTAGAGGTGGGCATAGTGCAGCTCAGAGCTACTACATGAAGCCCCTCCCTCCAGCAATTCCCTGTTCTCCAGATGATGTGGGCCAACATGGCCCTCTCAAGAGAAGGTGACCAGCCCTTTTCAGTGCTTGATTCAAGTAAGTAAAGGCTGTTTATGGGAAGCCTTTACTTCAAAATGGGAAATGACTGTTCAGCTCTAAATCAGATGTGTAGACATGGTGAAGGATGACATAGGGCTGGAGGGCAGTTGTAACCCTCCATTGTCAAGAGAAGCAGGTATAGCTCCCATACTTTATGGTGAAGGATGACATAGGGCTGGAGGGCCGTTGTAGCCCTCCATTATAGCTCCCATACTTCTTGAAGTTGCTATTCTTTATGGAGACCTCAAAAGAAACATCTTTCACCATGCTACAATAAGGGGAGTGAGTGGAAATGATTGAGCTTTGTTGATAACTGTGCAGCATTTCCAATACACATGCATGAAGTGTTCGGATGGAGCCCTCAACTCATCAATTCCCACCCTCCAAATCAAAGCCATGGGTAATCTTGTGTAATATATCGCTTCAGTTATCAGACTGAGACTTGGGAAGTCCAGGTTCTAGTCTCCACTAAGCCTATGAAATACACTGGCTGACATTGGACCGGCCACTATCTGTCATCTTGACATGACTGATACAGTATGTGGATGCTTTGGGGAGAAGAGCTATATAGGCCACCCTGGGATGACAGGAGGAAATTTGGAATATAAATGAATGAATCTGAAAAAGTGAGCAAGGGACAAATGTGATTAAACAAGTGTTTTCTATTTTACCCAGCAATGTGCTAGGCTGATAAATTCAAAAACACCTCCCATCGCAGATGTTGCAATGGTGCTTTAGAATCACTGCCCCATGCACAGTGTTTTGCATCTAGAGCAATTACGTTTTATGTCTAATAAGATTATGTAATCACAACAGCTCAACAAGAGAGTCTTAAGGATTGCAATAACTGAGACAGGGAGTCATCCCTGGTGAATGATCGGGCACAGCAACAGCCAAAACAAACAGATGTTTGCTCAATTTCTTCAGCAAAAAAACAAAAACAAAAACAAAAAACTGTGGAAGCCAGGCCTTTTTTGCCATCTGCTCTGTGGTCTCCTCACATGATCACACTGAAGGCTGGGGAATATTCAATAAACTGATTTATACAGGGACAGAAATGGCTTAGTTTGCAGCTGCTGTGCCTGCTGTGGCAGCCCTGGGCATCATTCACAGTGAAAACTGGCATTTGCAACCATGCTTTAGTTAACAACGAGGACTCACTAGGGAGATGGAGGCTGCTTGCACAAGAAAAGTCTCCTTGCCCTTATCAAGGTACTGCATGGATTGCCACAGTATGTACCACTGCTCGGCAGCAGCTTTAGGTTGCCATACAAAGCACCAGTAAGAGTTACTCTATTGGTGTGAAGCAGTGGTTCTCAGGGATGTTGGCAAATCTTTGGATCAGTTTCCTGAGTCCGAGTCTTTGGTACGAAGTCCGAGTCCTATTAAAAACAAGTTTTCCCCAGAATAAAGGGAGAGTGTGGGTGGGTTCCGAGTTGCAAGCTGAGTCCTAGTCATTGAAAAGAAAAGCCCAAGTTGAGTCATTGGTGCAACTTAAGTCTGACTTAACAGCGAGTCCCATGACTCGAGTCCCCATCCCTGGTGGTTTCCAACCTGGGGGTTGCAGAGTGTCTTCTGGGGGTTGTGATTCTCTTTTCATGTCTTGTAGCCTTTGTTAAATAATTTTTTTCTTGACCTTTCGGAGCAAGCTATTAAAAGTTAGCAAGTATGTGCGCGTATGTATGAAAAACAGGCCCATTTGGGGGAGAAAGAAGCCTTTACTTTCTGAGAATGAATGCCTTTTCTATATTAAAAATGCGAACACGGCTGATGTATGTCGCAGGTTACTTGGCTATTATAAAAGGGAGTTGTGACTAAAAAAAAAGATTGGGAACCTCTTGTGTACAGGGGAAAAAAGGGTGAAATGTGTACATTCCCCACAAGGAGATTAGACCGAAGAAAGGTTCATTTATGTACTTCTAATTCCAATGAGATGCTAGAAATTACAGTCAAAAAATAGGAACATTTCAAATTTCCCAAAATGCTGGACTAGATAGCTCTTTGGTCTGATCCAATACAGCTTTTCTTATACAGCATCTCTGTGGAAGGGCGATGCACTCCCAGCCTTCCACATGCCAGTTATGTCCTCTCGCAAAAGTATGTCTACTCTCATATAAAGCTCCTTGTATGTTCAAGCTTTCTTGAATCAATAAGGCATCATGGCTTTTTGCCTTTATTGGCCCCAGTCAACTATGGCCCACAGCCTCCAGCCAACCACAAAGCTGTACAGAAACTTATTTATAGTGCCTGGGTTGCCAGTCCCAACAAATGCAGAAATTAGAAAACTAACAACAAATATTTCATATCTAACTGATGCATGTGCAACTTTATGAGTAAAAGACACTTAGTTTTCCACCATTTTGGTAGAGGCTATCCCTAGCCCTAGCCTATGCTTTCTATATGCCATTCATCTGGTATTAGCCAGTATTGACACTCCCTCACAACAGCAAGTAAAGCTTTCATACTTGTAGCCAAGTAGGGAATCATGGTAAAATTAGCAGCAGCATTTCATGTCAGCCAGCCTGAGGTTTCTTCCTGATTTTCTCTTTCAGCACGGTGCAGAGCTGGTTAGCAGAAAACAATTTAAACACTTCCTGTCCATTTGTTACATATAAGTACAGCTGTCCCCAGTTTTGTGCCCTCCAGATAAAGCCTCCTACACCATCCCTTTCCAGGACAGAAAACTGGGATAGTCCAGCACTCCATTTGTTACATATAAGTATAGCTGTCCCCAGTTTTGTGCCCTCCAGATAAAGCCTCCTAAACCATCCCTTTCCAGGACAGAAAACTGGGAGTGATAGTCCAGCACCTCTAGAGATCTCTGGATGGAATAAGACTCCTTTGATGTACTTCATCCATTCTGTTGGCTATTAATTCAACACTTTTTATTATTGAGAGCAAAACACTGAAGCATCAACAAAATCTGAGGGAGCTGTCTTGGAAATTTACCTCTTCTGGCTCAATCAGCTTGAATTCCATTCCTCTGCCAGTCCAAGCAATGAAGTGGGCATTGGCTGGATCATCAAGAAGTGTAACGAGGAACTGCCACAGCTGGAGTGAACCTCGTCTCTGATAAGGAGGCCCTTCACGATATACTGCGGGTTCTTGCTTAACTTTACCTGTTTACAAAAATATACACCAATTAGAATGGACACTTTAAAAGCTGCATCTTTTTGTCCTATTTCTCAAAGTGGCTGCAGCATTGGCTGTTTATATTTCCATGGAGAAATGGGCCATGTAGCAGCTGACTGTGAAAGGCACTAGCTAGCTAGCTAGCAGTGCTCTGCTGTCCAATTCATAAGAACCTAGCTATCTTACTGAAGTCTTTATCTCTCACAGATTTCTCAAACTGAGAGTTTGTTAATCACCTTCTATCGGAGTTCGATTGAGAGCATATTATCCTACTGTCTCTGTGTATGGTTCACGAGCTGCACAGTGGCAGAGAAAAAGGCAATTCAAAGGGTGATTAAGACGGCCCAAAACATCATTGGCTGTTCACTCCTCTCTTTGGAAGAATTGTATAAGAACAGATGTAAGAGGAAGATATCTAACATACTGAAAGACTCCTCTCATCCGGGATATCAGCTCTTTAAACTATTACCATCAGGAAGGAGATTCAGGGTATTGAAAGCAAGGACAAGCAGATTCAAGAACAGTTTTTACCCAAGTGCAGTATTGAGTTTAAATGTGGGGCCATAGGTTTTTGGTGGATTTTAATTGCTGAGAGAAAACGGGGTATCTATATTTGGATGGTGAAAGTTGTGTATATTTTAACTTTTTTTTGTAGTGTTGTCCAGTTTTACCTTGGGGAAGAGCACCTCATTTCGTTGCACCCACTTGTGAGCGCAATGACAAATAAATTTCTTATGTCTTATGTCTTATGTGATACAAATCAGGCAGAATTTGTTGAAGCAGATAGAAAGGGTGTTTTTTGGCCACCCCATATCTCGATCTGTTTAGGTTCACTGAAATCTATCCTGCCCAACCCGTGAAATGCGTGTCAACAGCCCTTTACCTTCTATCCTCTCTGGCACAACACAGGTGTCATCGAAGTACAATCGGGCATCTTTGTCATAGGAAAACCCTAGGAAAGGAGAAGAAATATTTATTAGCTTAAAGATGCTAAATATGATATTTTTTCCCCAGAGTTTAGAAAAGTTACTCTTTTTGAGTACAGCTCCCATGATCCACAAGCTAGTATAACCAGTGGCTGGGGAATTCTGGAAGCTATAGTCAAAAAAGTAACTTTCTAAGCTCTGATGCTTTGCAATGCATATTCTGCTCCCACCTCCTCTCCCACACACTATTAGGCTGCTTTCTTGTGCTTTATTTGCTGGCAGCAATGACAGGCACTCAGCCAGTTATTAAAGTCAACAAGTAAGGCCTCAAAATGCTTACTTGTACATATGCTACCTGCTGCTCCTACAATTCTAAGGGTTGGTCTGGCTAGGAGGATTCTACTGGGCTGGTTTCACAAGGAAGCATAAACTACAAGTGCAGGGGAAAGTGTTGCACACAAAGTAATACCAAAGCAACTTTGGCTTCTCTTGCTGCAGTCTCTCCTCTGGGTGTTGTTTCCAATGGCACCACCAGACTCCAGTTTGCCACTTAGACTGGCAGGAACAAATATGGACTCTCACTAGAAGAGGGTGGGCAGTGGGCAGTCTGTCAGCTGCATGTAGTCTTGTGCCATTATTGTGGCTGTCAGCCCTCTCTCATGGGATGGTGGTTTTGCAAATGCAAACAAATGGTTTTGCTTCTCCTGGAGACCTTAGGGAGCATTAAAATGAGCAAACCAAATAGAACATGTCGGGGAGAAAGCAAAATCAGCACATTGAGCTTCCACATAGAAAACCACAAGTGGATATCTAGTCCACTTTTCACAATCTGTGACAGGCCCGCCAATGAAGCTCATCCCTGCAGTGAAAGGAGAACAACTCTTAAGGGATCCCGGCAATATTTCATTCCTGTTCCTTTGGGTGCTGCTTGAAGTAGCTGCAATGAGTTTACTGATAACTCTGCCCCAGAGCTTGGGAAAGTTATCTTTCAGGCTACAGCTCCTAGGATTCCCTAGCAAGCATGGCTGACGGAGTTTTAGTCCAAGAAAGTAATTTTTCTAAGTTCTGTAACCAAGACAAGCTAAAGGAATCTTTAAATTTTGATGTGATGTTTTCGCCTGTGACAAACAACCAGCATTTGGAAAAAGTTGCACATTTGGACTACGGTCCCCCAGATCTCCCTTCCACTATAGCTGTGACTATGCGGACTAAGGCACTCTGGGAGTTGTAGTCTATGAGAGTAAGTTTCCAAAGCTCTGCTTTATCCTCTGTACAGGTAAAAGTAAAGGTTCTCCTCAACGTTTAGTCCAGTTGTGTCTGATTTTGGGGGTAATTGCTCATCCCCGTTTCCAAGCCATGGAGCCAGCGTTTGTCGGTAGACAGTTTCCGTGGTCACATGGCCAGTATGACTAGACACGGAATGCCGTTACCTTCCCATTGTGGTGGTCCCTGTTTATCTACTTGCATTTTTACATGCTTTCGAACTGCTAGGTTGGCAGATATCTTCTGTATACACAAAGGGCGGGGGCTTACTCAGAGAAGCTTCTATACAAGCCAGACTTTTACTGCAACTGCAACTGCATTACCATCTCATGTACCAAAAGAAAAGGCTGGCCTGACAAAAACCCTTTCTGGGTAAAATGGGAAGACACATGTCCATATCCAGGAAAAGAAACTGGTGGCAGACCTACAGAATTTCTGATGGAATCCCAAAGATCATTGACAATCTGCTTGTTATGCAGCAAGAGAAGCAGGCCAACTTTGAGCATGATGATGAGGATTTTGCAAGATGAAAGATATCATCATCATCATCTAAATAAAACTGGCTTCCCTGGTCCAGTTAATGTGGTGGTGTCAGACATAATTAATAGCTTGAAGGCGATACACACACTCTCTGCAACTGCCAATTTTCTTTGCCCTGCTAGAAATGGGTAGGAGGACTTGCTATCTATAAAGATTCAGCACAGCCGTCTGCTGAGGAGAGAAAGCTCAATGCGGCTGCATCTTGTTGCCAGGACAATAGTCTTTTTTGAGCAAGGAAAGATGTCAGCTGCTCTCTTCAGGAATTTGCTGGGCATTTAAGTAGGCCTCAATTTACACTGACCTTTCAGTCTGGAGCTGTATCATTATCTCCATAATGTAGATGAGAAGCTGAGGCTGAGAAACAGCTTTCCCCAGACCACCTCACGAAGTCAGCTGTGAAGTCTGGATGCTGTTATTGGAAGTGACTTTGTGATGCATAATAAGTGACCTCACAGGGCTTTTCAGGTACATGAGATGTTCAAAGAGTGGTCTGCCATTGTCTTCCCTCAGCCAATTTCCATGCCTGAGTGGGGATTTGAACTCAAGTCTCCCGAGTCCCATCCTGACACTCAATGCACTACACCACATTGATTATCAAGGTGTGAATGAAAAAAAAACATCAGCTAAGAAACAGCTATCTGAGTGAGGCCAAGAGACAGCAAGAGGAGGAAAGGAAATGCCAAGTGCAGAGGTTATTTGCCAGGAAGCCCCTGGCCAAATCTCATAGCTGAACTCATACCACAATCCTAAGCAAATCATTCTCTCACATCCTCGTCTCCTCATCTATTGTGGGAGAAGGGTGGTCACATCACTTTGCATTGTTACAAGGATGATTACAATAAACATTAAAAATGTTGAGTACTTTTAAAGATTATATAAAGGGCTGAAATACAGCTGGTTCTTATAATTGATGTTAGCTGATTTGCACTATTTCCTTGTGCTCCTCCTGTTTTCTAGAAAACAGCTATTTAAGCAGGGACATAAAAGCTGATTATTACTAGTTTCACAGAATCGGAGAGAAGGTTGGAGTTATAGAGGTCATTTAATCTACCCACCCTCCTTTAAGAATCTGTAATGCAGGCTGCAGTTAGAGCAGTCTCAGCATGTTGCTGCTAACCCAATACTTTCAGAGGCAGTCTATTCTACTACTGAACAATTCTTAGGAGGCTTCTCCTAAGATTTGCTTGAACATGGCTTGCTTGCCCCTCTACCCACTGTTTATTTTCCTGTTCTCTAGCGCAACATGGAACTAATTTCCACCATCTTCTATCTTTCAGATACTTGAAGTTCATCATCTCTAGGCCTAATCTCTTCTCCAGGTTGAACATATGCAGCTTTTTCAATCATTCCTCATTAAATCTTGATATCAGAGAGAACAGACTCCCATCTTCCTGCTACTAGAATCATTGCATCCAGCTTTCTTATCCAAACTCCTCAGCTTTATTGTATGTATGTATGTATGTATGTATGTATGTATGTATGTATGTATGTATGTATGTATGTATGTATGTATGTATGTATGTATGTATGTATGTATGTATGTATGTATGTATGTATGTATGTATGTAGCAGTAATTTTGCGGCCACAGACTCAATAATTATTGTATGTGTGATTAGACTTGCCTAAGTGTATTTACTGACTGCCAACTTACCATCATGGCCACTGGGGAAGTATCCTCCTCCTCCTCTCACATACGCTGACTGGCAGTTAGGCACTTCTGAAATAAAAATGAAGATGGTGTTAATATCACTTTGAACACTACACACATCATTAATTTTCAGAATAAATAATGGACAGACCTATGAAGAAAAAAAAATCAGATATACCAAATCTGTTGGCATGTGAGAAAGCAGCCTATTAGAAATATACTATTTTAGAGAAGAAGCAGAGATAAGAGCTTTTTGGAGGGAGAGGGACTACAGCTCCCAGAATTCCATAGCCCTTGCCACCATTGACCATACACTACAGCTCCCAGAATTCCATAGCCCTTGTCACCATTGGCTGTGGAATTCTGGGAACCATTGTTTAAAAAAAGTAATAATCTTGTGTCTCAAACACATCTGAAGACTCCTCCACAACAAATAAGTACTTTGAAGAGTATAATCTCCCTTTAGATAGGAAAGAGATGTAATCCATCTCCTCATTCAAGGCCTTCCCATGGGGTAAAGCCCATTGAACATGATGTGGCTTAGGTCTTGAGTGAAGTTGCAACTGAGTTGGGCCATGCATTTTCTTCTAAATTAGAGGCACTGGGCAAGCCTGGATGGGATTGAGTTCAAATATAAATCTGGCAAATATACTACCTTAATGACCATGTGGCAGAATCTGCTCAAATGCTAACACCACTAGTGGAGAACAGCCCTGAGGTCCCAACATTTGTATTCAGAGGCTGCTTAACAGCTTTCTAGGTGGTGAGCGAGACAGCTGCAGAACTTAAGTTATGTGACAACCCCTGTCCTCCATCAGTTGCAGAGGCACAGGAAGAGTAATATGATTGTGTGGCAAAATACCACAGGTCTACCCTGTTCCATACAGAACTGAAGCTGACAGACAGAGTTTGCAGGAAGCCTTCCTGACACAGATCCATATCTTGAACCAATCCCTTACAAAGCTCATTTTGTTCCCAAACCAGTGCAAATAATATTCCTAGTCATCAGCACTTTCAGCCATTCAAAATCCCAAAGATCCCTGCAGGGTGTTCAGATAAACAAGATGGTAAAGTATTTCCAACACTGTCAAATTTAAAATGCTGTTTAAAGTCTGATCTGTCAAGTCTGATCTTCTACATATCAGCAAGCAAAAATAATACATAAATAGGAATATGGAGTCATGAACCTGCATAGGAGTCAGAGTCACACAAATTCAGATCACTGGTCCATGTGACTGGCCCACTTCACCCACTGGTCCATCTACCTAATTTGACTCTCAGTGGCTCTCTACAGTCTGAGGCTTAAACTTTTCCCATCACTTGGCACTTGATTCTTTTAAGTGGAAATACTATGGGTTGAATCTGAGGTGTTTTTGGATGCAACGTATGTATGTTATCACTGAACTAAAGTCCATCTGATAATTTCTACAAAAAGGGGTGGACAATCTCCAGCAGTCCAGGGGTTGCACATGTCCATCACTGGAACTTGGAGTCCTCCTTGAACTCGTTAGTGGTCAATTAAAAGAAAGGCCAGGGATGTTCAGAAGCCATGGGAAACGGTCCCCCCTCAGAACATGGCAATGTTTTTACCTAACCTTTTTCATATAACAACATAAATTCTTCTTTAATGTTTGAATAATTTACTGTTTTTAGTTTTTAAATAAATAAATATTTCCACCCATATCCTTAGAGGGCACAAAGGAAGTTTGAGCCAGATATTTTTAAAACCTTCCATTAAAACATAAGGCTTGAGAAAGAGAGAAGCAAGGCCTCCAGTATGAACTATTTAGATCCTTCTCCCATGTGCTATGATTATTTACCTACTGAGATTAGGCATTAAGAGACAAGATGAACCAACAGCTAAATAGGAGATGTCCTGAATTGTGGGCAATAATACGATCCCTTGAATATCAGGTACATTGTATTGTTCCTGGAAGCTGTAATGCAATCCACCTCACTGCTCCAGCTGTCTCTTTGCTGAAAGCAAAGCCTCCTGCATTCACTTCCAACAGCAAGAACTGTAGAAGAAATCCTTATGAACCTGCAGGACAGGTTGGAAAAGGGTATTCAAACTGTACCCTGAGGCAGGATCTAAAAGCGAAGCTTCATATTTTGCATTCTCTCTGACAACATGTGAGAAGCAGGGAAGAACAGAAAAAAATTCTTTTAACTTTAGATCTTCTCCCATCTGTTCCCTCATGCCTCTGAGAGGTCACGGTATTTTTAGGCCTAAGGCGATTTGCAGTTATGGAGCTGGGCCCAGCACCACCAGCAGCTGTGCAATCTAACGAGCAATCAGGCGTTCCCCTTCTTGTTGCCCCAGCCCCCCCGCCAAGGTGAGCATTCAGCATCACCCCAATGTCAGCTTGCAGGTTCTTTGCTACCCAACGGAGCACAAAAGATGGGAAGGTGAAGAAGAAGCTTTGCACACATATATATGTGTTTGTGCAAAGCTTCCTCTTCGCTGCTCCAACTCCAGTAATGTTTTTCAGATTATAGAGGCTTAGATTCTCCTACATCTGTTGAATGCCTGATTTTTTTAAAAAATTAAGCCAGAACGAGATAATGCAGCATTCTAGGTAGATAAAAAATGGCCACAAAAGGCAGCTGCTATTTTCAAGGAACGGGTGGAAAGCTTCCAAGAGAAGCACAGGAGCAGGAGATACGTAGACTCTCCACAATACTGGTTCCCAAACTGGGAGACATCCCCTCAGGGAGCCATTAAAAAATTCTAACGGAGCTTGTGCGATATTAATAAAGACTTTTATTTTTAAAAAATCAGCTTAAACAATTTCTATGATATATAACTTTCCTAGTATTTAGGCTTTTTTTGAGAAACCCACTTATGCTTATTTTTAATTTAAAAAATTTAATTCTCAAATTAATTTTTGTATTTGCACTTTTATTTTTAAATTACACATTTTATTCTTTTTGTTAGAGGGGGTGGATGACATCAAAGGAGATCCTTCTCCCTCATACTATGATTATTTACCTACTGGCAAGGCCTCAAGGTTCCTCAAAAATCCCAAAGAAGGTGCGATGTCAATTTGGAAAACCACTGGTCTGTAAGGATGACAGAGCTGAAGATGGCAAGGATAGGACAGGAGTGGCTGCCAACATTCTTTCTTCCTTTAGATATAATTACAGATTGACTAGAGCTAAAGATTTCAAAGTGTACACAGCAATTAGAGTGGTGCCTCGCAAGAGGATTTTAATTCATTCTGCGAAAAACATCTTGTGAAAAAATAGTCTCGCAAGGTTCCCTATGCATCGGTCTTTAAAAAAAAGTCTTGCGAAGCATCAGTCTTAAAAAAAAGTCTTGTGAAGCATCAGTCTCAAAAAAAAAAAGTCTTGCGAAGCATGGTCATAGAAAAAAAGTCTTGCGAGGCACCATAGTGATTGCAAAAACCAATCGTCTTGCGGGTTTTTCGTCCCACGACGCGAGACACCACTGTATTTTTATAAATGCAATAAATGCAAAAAGCAGGTTTTTCATTGTCTGTGAAACACGTTAGGTGAGAGGACTTGTGAAAACTGGTATCTTTTCAACAAAATCGATACCTACACTGTTAGAGCATGCTTGATTTTTCAAAAAATGGTATGCCACATAGTGCACATATATACAAGACATTTAAGCACAGCAGGTAATTTGAAATGGTCTTAGAAATCTAAACATGCACCTGCCTCCATATACGTAGAAGGTATTTAGTCATCCTTGAAAAATTATACAAAGAACACTAAAAGTTCAGAAGTGTCAATATTGTTGTTGAAAAGTAGAAACAAAACTATATGAAGCACTGAGAAGATCCAAGGCACACTCTCAGAGTCCATTTGCTGCCCAGGGAATATGAATGCTATGGGGGCTGCTTTAAATACTGGGTGACAGATGCTTAAAAACAAGGGCCCATCTGCCTAGTGCCAAGAGGGAATCAAAACCAAGTGCTCACCTGAATCAATGCAGTAGTCCCTGGGCTCTTGCTTGATTCCCATCTGAGACTGGAATCCGTGTGCTGGGGGGCCTGGAATGCCTGGGACCCCATGATCATAGAGTGGGTCATGGTATTCCTGCTTGAAACCCTGAGGAGGATGGGGAACAGCAGGGATGATAGGCTCTGACATTTGCCTATGGTAGACTGGGCGACTGTCCCCTGAAAGCCCTGGTGGAGGATATGGGTGGCAAGGTTCGGACATCTGTCTCTGAAATCTTGGTGAAAACATATGAGAGAGAGAGAGAGAAAAAAAATAAGCACTACATTTAATAGACCCCCCAACAATTCCTCTCCAGTTTGTACTCCTGGGGAAAAGGAGTCGTCGTGGTGTGCTCAGCATTGCTTCACATGCAGAATACATACAGAATAACCTCTTCAGTAGCCAGCCCATCAGAAGTATCCAACAGAAACTAACTTTTATTACAATAGCGCAGCCCACATTGATATGATAATGGACAATTTTGTGGGGAAACTGAAGCTGTAGGATTGAACTAGCCAACTCAGATAGTTAAGCTGGCACATTTTGAATCCAGTTCTTTCTGGCCATCCCACAGTTGGCTACAAGAGAAAAAGAATTCCACCTCATACAAATGAAGACTTTGCTATTTTCCCCCTATGTTCTTTAATAACAATTGATCATTTCACTTTGTGTTTCATTCAAACACGGCAATGCGAAGGGATGGGCAGTTTTGGGGTGGGCAGGTCAATTAGACTTTCAGTAGTAGGCCCTGCGTACTGAGATCTTAGGGGAAAGGGCCACACAAATCCTGCCTGTTTCATCTTAAACAGAACTGATAGGTTGCAGTTTTGCTCTAGTAACATTATTTTATAAAACGTATGCAAGTCAATTTTCCCCATTTATGGGCCAGTGTAGTTAACCAGATTTGGGTGCAGTAAGAATGGGGTCACTACATCCTCAACAGCTGCCTTGGATCTCTCTAAGGCACATTTTAATTAGGGCTATATTCTCAGGTAAAGCTTCTTATAGCACTATGCTAAACAAATGAAATGGGGGTAGGCACTTGGCTCTTTATAAAGCAGTGATTCCCAGCCTTTGGGTTCCTGATAGTCTCAGCTTATAACTTTCACAACCCCAGAAAAACAGCACAACTCTTAGCTGTGTTAATGAAGAGTTCTTGATGTTATACTTCAAGTGCACTTCTACTATCAAGCTTGGGCCACCAAGCATAAATCTGCTTGTTAAAGGGGGCTACAGATCCTTTTTCCCTTAGGGAGGGATAATATGGATTGACATAATTCCCTCTACAAAGGGACACACAATTAAAGCTTTTAGTGAGTGAAACTACCATTTGTATTACTTTTTAGAATGGTATTTTTAATGGTTACATTTTGCGGACCTTTTCCTGGCCCTGGCCCAAAAGTAATTAATTTAACATTAACACATTAATTTTAGTGAATGTGTCCACGTTCTGAGCCTAGGCAATATCTCTCCTCTGTCTCCTCTTCAATGAATTAACTCAAGACAGGCAAAAAGGGCTCAGAAAACTGCCACCTGAAATGAGCACTGTCCTTACTGAAGATTCTCACCCCAGCCGAAAAATGGACAACATGGATGAGGGAGATTCTTCCTAAGGCTCAGAGCTTAGAAGCAACACATTAAATGTGTCATTGTGAATGTGTTATTTTTCTCCATGGCCAACATCAGTACTGTACTTTTACGTGCTTGAAGGAAAACAAGGAGCAGAATTCTTTTGGGAAAAAGTAAAAACACCTGCAGAATAGTAATTGCTCAAACAGTCCCCCTGCTTGGCTGGATGCCTGTTGCACAAGGATTCTCACTTTCTCAGAAATTGATTGCATGACAAACCTTTTGCTAAAGGGCACACTATTCTCCAAAAGGCTTCTGACCTAAAGGCTTTGCATAATAATATTTACTCATTCTTTCAAAATCTTATTTTTGGCGGCATCATTTTGTGGAATTTGGGGGCACTTTTTATATATTAAAAATTGCTTTTTCATTTGAAAACTGAATTAAAAACATGCATTCGTAACACACTAAAGTGAGTAATGTAGTGAGTAATGTATTGGATGAAGATAAAATAATGCCAACATGTTAGCTTTTATAGTAATGTTTCCCAGCACTGTTCACACCTCACAATGTTTTGCTTTTTATTCGAAAACCATTGAACTGCATCAAAGTGGCAGCCTTGAGAGAAGAGAGGATGGCAATTCAAATTAGCCACCGTGAGAGAGCAGTACCGAATGAACCTACTGATTGACCTTAGCAGAAACACTAGTGGGTAGTCTTTCAATTGATCAGGAATGTCTTTTCTGAGGGGAACAAACAGCTTGTCCTTTGCTAAAGAAGGAGCATGTCTACTCTGATATGGCCACGTTTCACTCTAATCAAGCAAACAAGCAGTTACATAATTCAGAATCCACTCAGCAATCTGTGAATACCAAGTGGCTGCTAATCGGTCTATAAGGCTAGGGATTAAGCCTTTAGCTCTCCATGCAGGGGGAAAATATGCACGCTTTCTGAAATGTCGTTGTGCTGTATAGAACACACAGATCATGCCCCTGGCATGAGAGCAGCAGAGCTTGGTCAGACTTAACAATTTAGCAAAATATCTACTGAGTGAATGCCACTCCCATGCTGAAACGTTCAGTCTTGAAAAGAACATTTGGAAGGGCAGAGAGAACGTACTACTAGAAATAAATCCCTTGCTTTTGTTTCAAAGAACATGTCTTGAATTGATCAAAGCTCGGAAAAGTTACTTTTGTGGACTACAACTCCCAGAATTCCCCAACCAGTATGTTTACAGCTCCAAATGTTTTAGATGATATAGTCCAAAAAAATTAACTTTAGTAAACTCTGGTCTAGAGGTTAACTCAGTTTTCTTGGTTTCTGATCAGATGCTGATGTGTAAAAAGTCTTGACTGGACTATAATTATGTGAGACATGACTTAATAGAAGCAGGGAGCTTCTTTGTGGATATTGTCTTCCCTCTCTCCCCTGAATTCAGCCCAGGAAACTACAGAGCCACACAGATTTCTGACAGAAGGTTATTAGCCCAAGTTAAAGCCTCTAGGGCTGTTTAGATGCTCAGCACCTGAAAAAGTGTCACCAACTCCCAATCCCAACAACAGATTAAAAATAGAGGCATTGATTAAACCCCAAGAAGCCTTACTCCTTGCTTCTAGATTTGAGACTGGGAAGAAAGTATATCCTTTTCCTGAATTCTATAGTATTTGTGCACCTTGAAAGGCAATTGCTATCAATCAATTCCTTTCCCAAGCATCCAAAGGCATGCAGGCTCCATTTGGCTTTGTAACACTATCTTTTGCAGCTGACAGGCCGAGATTACTCTACTTCCGATCTGTGTCCTTCTAACCTTCCCAAGTGTAACTAGAGCTGTGCTGGTATGGCTTCTGCAGGAAGCGGGGCTTCCAGATGGGAGTGTGCTGAGTGTCCCTAGCATAGCTTTAAGGTCACTGGGAACTTATGACCTAAGGGACAGTTGTGGACAGAGTGTCTAGAAAGCAATTTTAGATGCCTGTGATAAAGAGGAGCTGCTTTTCTAGGAGACAGTGGCACCAAGAAAGAGGAGAATAGTTTTTTTTTTTCTGGAGGTAAACTCATCTGTCAAAGCGCTAATGTCAATTTACCTTCCCATGGTTTCCACAGTAATGTAAATAAGCAACACATTTCTTCTTTTACTTGACACAACAGAGGTTTGTCAAGTCTTGCACACAAACCTTCAGCTTTTGCCCTTCCATTGGTTTAACAGATTTGGCTGAAAATCTAATGTTGCAGGGTTACAGAAAATCTGGTCTTCCAGATATTCTGGATAACCATTTAGGACAGCTAATGCTAAGGAAGAATGGAATTGTAGTCCAAAGCATGTGAAAACCCAAGGGTCTCTCATCTTTGCAATGTTGACAGTTTGATTATGGTGGCAAACCACACAGATGGCCCCGTGAGAGTCCCCAGACATTCTTAGACTGCAATTCCCAGAAGCTCTTAGTACAGCTAGTGGTGAAGGCTTCTGGTAGTTGCAGTCCAAGAATGTCTTGGGACCCACTGGTATAGTGGTATAATCTCAGAACCTCTTCCTTTGCCAAGTCTGGAATATTTCAAGCATCACTTGCAAGGCTTTGTTTCTCTGCACACTCTGAAGAGTTCATGCAGCTGGAAAATCTGAAGTAGCTGAAAAAGGTGGAATGGGTTCATCAGCTACAAATAATGAGCCCCCAACAGAGCCCCCATTAGCCTTTGCTGTGAAATGCTGTTCCCTTCAGGTAAGCATGCCAGGCTTCTGGTTTTCATATACAGTATTAGCTTGACAGTCAAGGAACTAGAAAGACTCTGAAGGGCTGCTGTGCTAAGCACTAGGAAGAAATGATGGGAAACACTTCAGAGAACTTAGTACTGAGCATATGGGGTCACATATCCTTACTACAAGACAAATAGTATTCAAGCAGCGATAGGGATGCTGTAAAATCAGACAAGTTACACCCCGCACAGTGCCAACCATCTTTATTTTACAAATAAAGATACTCCTGAACTGTGGGGATTCATTCATTAGAAGATACAGCCAACTGGAAAATAGTGATTGACATAAAGATCAATGACAACACAAAAATTGCTACAGATGCAGGATGTCCATGGAGATTCACAGCTATCTTGCAGCAGAGTCAAACCCATAATAGAGAGACCACATATTGGGCAAGGAGGCACAAGGGCACCACTGAGCAAGTTTTCTATTACAGTGACAAAATACAAAATAAAATCTAAGTAAAGGCAAATAAGGCATTACTGAGGGAAGAGGGGTGAGGAATAAGAACGAAAGGAAAAAAATGCATTTCTCACTGTTTTGCTGAGAAGTTGGGGGAAGGGAATTAATGTTCTGGAAAATGAGATGAGATCACAGAATTTCAAAAGGAAACAAGCAAAACACATCACCATGCCACATGTGAGTTCTGGTGATGGAACAGGCCTCCATAAATACAATTATGAGAAACCAACTCTGCCGAGATCTACCTCAGTTTCTCTTATTGAGTTCTGAAATTATTATAGCTGCCCTGGAGGTTTTGCTGAATACAAATCTTAAAGATAAATAAAAAGTTTTGCTCTCCATATCTGTTGGTAGACAGGACTGAGCACTGAAAATTCATTCAGAAAGGCTGCCCTTCTTTAGATGTGTTGTATCCTCAAAAAGCTAATCCATAGCCCTCACATCTTGCTCACAGACATCCCATAGTAACACTAACTGTACCTCATTCATTATTGTCCAGACCTGTTATGTCTGGTTGAAAGGAACTTGTGAAAACTTGCTGCATAGACTGGAACCACCTCTCTTATTGATGAAGATCAGCACAACAGTACGACAGAGTCAGGCTTACTATTTGGCTCATTGTTTACATTTTGGCATTTTGATATTTTCATGTCCAAAACATTAGTCTGTGTTAACTTGGTGTTCTGTTCCTGTGAACCATTTCATCTTTCCTCCAATTGTTGTCCACTAGATTGTAGTCCTTAGAGAGTTTGTCTGGTATTGAGATTACATTGCCTGTATTAGAGATGCTTCGTTTATTGTTTATCAGAATCCTAATGACATCCATGTTGAGATCTGTACAACTTGCTGTGGCTAATTGATGACATATTATGATGCATCCAAGTTGTGCACCTGGGCATGTGTTTTGTTGCACAAGTGGTGCTCTGCAGCACTTTGCCAACTAGCCTCATTAAATTCTGCAAAATGTACATAAACACTAGTAGGATTGTATAGATGTAACCAAAGTACAAACATATATTATCTCTCCGGCATTTTTCATATCATGGAGGTTTTCAGCTTCATTTCTTTCTAAAAATTTGCTACGTTCTGTTTGCTTGTGTGTGAACATTTTTTTAAATATCACAGATTATTTTTATTTGCACTAGTTGCTTTTTGTAGGTCCTTGTTTTCTTTATCCGGTGTCTGATGTGAAAAGAATGGCAGGCTAGATTATGCCTTTGGTATGTATGATCCAGCATGATTTTTCTTGTGTTCATCTCATCCTATGACATTGAGCAACACAGTGAACAGCCTAGCTCCCATTTGTCTAAAAAGGTGAGAGCGAAGCCCTTCATGATAGTGCTTGATATTAGAATGGCATGATTCAAAAAGGATTTTAAAATTCCTAAAAATCTTTTACCATTATCTACCACCTGGACCAGGAACTGGCAAGCCACTCCAGTATCTTTGCCAAGAGAACTCCATGGACAGAAACAAAAGGCTAAAAGATATGACACTGGAAGATGAGCCCCTCAGGTTGGAAGGCATCCAACATGCTACTAAGGAAGAGTGGAGGACAGGTATGAGTAACTCCAGAGCAAATGAAGTGGTTGGGCCAAAGCCGAAAGGATGCTCAGCTGCGGACATGCCTGGAAGTGAAAGGAAAGTCTGATGCTGCAAAGAAAAATACTGCATAGGAACCTGGAATGTAAGATCTATGAACTTTGGTAAGCTGGAGGTGGTCAAACATGAGATGGCAAGAATAAACATTGACATCCTGGGCATCAGTGAACTAAAATGGATGGGAATGGGCAATTTCAATTCAGACAACTATCATATCTACTATTGTGGGCAAGACTCCCGTAGAAGAAATGGAGTAGCCCTCATAGTCAACAAAAGAGTGGGTAAAGCTGTACTGGCACACAGTCTCAAAAATGACAGAATGATTTCACTACAAATCCAAGACAGACCTTTCAACATCACAGTAATCCAAGTTTATTCACCAACCACCAATGCTGAAGAGGCTGAAATTTACCAATTCTGTGAAGACTTACAACACCTTCTAGCACTGACACCAAGGAAGAATGTTCTTGTTATTATAGGGGACTGGAATGCTAAAGTAGGGAGTAAAGAGATAAAAGGAACAACAGGCAAGTTTGGCCTTGGAGTTCAAAACAAAGCAGGGCAAAGGCTAACAGAGTTTTGTCAAGAGAACAAGCTGGTCATCACAAACACTCTTTTCCAACAACACAGGCGGCAACTCCACACATGGCCATCACCAGATGGGCAATATCGAAATCAGATTGATTATATTCTTTGCAGCCAAAGATGGAGAAGCTCTATACAGTCAGCAAAAACAAGACCTGGAGCTGATTGTGGCTCTGATCATCAGCTTCTTATATAGCAAAACTCAAGCTCAAACTGAAGAAAGGAGGAAAAACCACTAGGCTTGTCAGGTACTATATAATCTAAACCAAATCCCTTATGAATACACAGTGAAAGTGAAGAACAGATTTAAGGAACTAGATTTGGTGGACAGAGTGCCCGAAGAAGTATGGATGGAACCTTGTAACATTGTACAGGAGGCAGCAACAAAAACCATCCCAAAGAAAAGGAAATGCAAGAAAGCAAAGTGGCTGTCCAACAATGCCTTACAAATAGCAGAGAAGAGGAGGGAAACAAAATGCAGGGGAGATAGGGAAAGTTACAGAAAATTGAATGCAGACTTCCAAAGAATAGCAAGGAGAGACAAGAGGGCCTTCTTAAATGAACAGTGCAAAGATATAGAGGAAAATAATAGAAAGGGGGG